ATAGTAAATATAACACATACACGGGAGGCTAAAATAAATGTGTCAATGTGTGAAAAGAAATTAGCACAATTGACATCGACATGTTTCGATGCTAATAATATAATTACACGAAATATGCGAGAACTTTCATCTAAAACAGCCACTGTTGCTACACAACGAGTACATGATCTTATACTCGATTATATTAAAGAGGCTACACAGGGTTTAGCAAAAATGAGCATTAATAGAATTCGTCGTGCTTCGATTGAAAAAGACGAATGGGATGCTCTAAAAACATTTGAAAATGTTGCATCAGAACAACAAAAAATGTATGCTAAAACCTTTTGTAAATCGACATTGAATAACTACCATAAGAAAAAGAAAAGGTTTGAATTGGTAGCTGCACATATATCAAATGATATAATACCGAAAATCTTACCACATTATGACTTTAATCTTCCTGTGGACGAAAATTCACTTACAAGTGAACAGACCCAGGAATACAGAAAAAGTATACATAATTTATCAAAAGATTTTCGACTTAAAGCAACAGAACTCTATCTAGGAATCGTCAAAGAAGAATTTGAATTTCAAAAAGAAAGATTACAAAAACTTCTTGATGATTTTCCACAAGATAGATATGAAGTACCATCAACACAAATTGATGATGATGATGAAGAACCTTTAGATAATGAAGTTTTTACTCAAAAACCATTATCACAACGACAAGAAACTATAAACAATAAGAAAGGTTCTGAATTATTTAAAAAATATATTGTAATTGCACATAAAAGAGCTCAATTAGAAATTGAAAGAGAAGTGCATTTTTTATCCGAACGAGGCGTCCAAGAGACGCCAGTTGGAACTCAAGAGCCAAAAGATCTAAATCCAGTGATGCGAAAGGATTTCGTGCTCCAAGCATAATTAATGATGCTAATATAAATTTAAATAGGAGTGAAGAGGCCCTCCTTAAATTAGGCCCTAAATATATTCCAAATAACCCTCATCTCGCCCATAAACGTATGGGAAATGAGATAGAAGTGGTTGTAAAGAAACTAAATAAAATATTCGTTGAACACGGATGGGTACTACCTAAAGAACGGTTACAGATCTTTATAGACTCGCTCGAAAAGATCTTGACTGATTGTCATGAAAGACACCCGCCAGCTGTTCAATTAAAAGAAATCAATAATTTAAGTAATAAATTTGAAGCTACACTAACAGTCATAAGAAAAACTGATAAATCGAAAGTTTTCCATCTTGGTAAACTGGATGACTATAAAGTGAAAGCTCAAACATATATGATTAATACTAAAGCTTATCAAGTTTTGGGTACAGTAAACCCACTTAAATCTTTAGTTGAACGTACAAATGATTTTCTTTATGGTTTATGGGTTAATAAACATATTACACAAAAACAATATGAAAAATTTAAAGTAGAGAAAGATGAGGCAGAATTAGCCCATCTTTATTTCTTACCAAAACCACATAAACCAGGAACACCTTTAAGACCTATAATGTCTGGTCTTAAATCTCCAACCATAGAAATTTCTAGATGGTTGGATAGTTTATTAAGACCATTGTTCGATCGTCTAGCCATAAATTCAACCGTTAAAAACGGCCTTGAATTAATACAACAAGTTGAAAGATGGTCGGCTACTTACCTTACACGAGCCACATCATTCATAACAATGGATGTTACTGATTTGTATACAATGATTCCTCAAGAAGGAGGAGTAACAGCCATAAAAAGATTAATTGAAGCATCTGGATTAAAACAAATCGATGGTGTTAAAAAAGAGATCATATTAGCTCTCACCAGATTTGTTATCACTAATAATTATTTTTATCTTGATGGGTCATATTATAAACAAATACGTGGAGGAGCCATGGGCTCACCATTGACCCTCACAATGGCTAATGCATATATGTATTTCGTTGAACGTCCTATTTCAAAATGGGCTAATAGGACATGTTCATTATATTATAGATACATTGATGATCTATTTATCATGTCAAATGTACATGCAGATATATTAAAAGGTCTTGTGAATTTTTGGAATAGACTTGATAGTAATATTAAATTTTCAGAATCCATAAGACAAACTGCAGAGTACCTTGACGTTAGATTTGAGAATAGAGGAGGTAAATTGGTAACTGAGGTTTTTCATAAACCATCACATGAACCATATTTCCTCCCTTTCACAAGCATACACGCACGGCATATAAAAAAGAATATTCCATTTGCAACTCTAGTAAGGGCAATACGATATTCTTATAATTATGAGGCTTTTAAACGTGAAGAAGCCCATATTTATATGTCGTTACTATTGAATAAATACCCATTGAATTTTATTATTAAACAATTTGAAAGAGTCCCACAGACATTTCAATATGCAGCACTTACACAGAAAAACTATTCAGAGATAAGAAATGTCTTAATAAATGCTGCAAATAACGATACAAAGAAGGCTGGAATTGATTTCGAGATTAATATCATGTGTCATTTCTCGTATTGCCAAGGAATGCATGATTTTTCAGCTCGTTTTCACGAACTCTGGAATGATTGTTTTTCAGATACAGCCATTTGTCATATGAAACCAATTCTCGGTTCTAGAAGATTAGATAATCTTCAAGATTATCTTGTTAGAAAGAAACCAGACAAATCTCTACTAAAAATTAATCAACCACTTACTTAATGGAGTTGTTGTCAAAAGAACACTTCTTATTCTTTCAGATAGGAGTTCTTTTTAAAAGAAAGGGACACTTCTTATTCCTTCGGATAGGAGTCCTTTTGTAAATCTTTTACCTCAGCTATTTGTTAAACGAACACTTCTTATAGGAGTTCTTTTGTTAAACGAACACTTCTAATAGGAGTTCTTTTACAAAATCGCTTATTTATTTGCTAAATGAACACTTCTTATAGGAGTTCTTTTACAAAACCGCTTATTTACTTGTGAAATGAACACTTCTTATAGGAGTTCTTTTACAAAATCGCTTACTTATTTGTTAAACGAACACTTCTTACAAGAGTAGTGAACTCATTAGAAAGAGGTTATATCTGAATAAGAATAACCAACTACTTTTAATCCTAATAAAATCGCTTATTTAGACGAACACTTCTTATAGGAGTTCTTTTACAAAATCGCTTATTTATTTGTTAAAAGAACACTTCGTATGCTATGGGACAGGAGTTCTTTTATCTACAATTGGACATTGGTGCGACATAACGTTACGGTTCATGCCATATCAACGACGGCGGCAACCAACAATAATTTAAACATAGTTTAAGACAATGATCATCACACAATGTTCATTACAAATGGTCATTCCAGTTCCAGTTCAAGACAATTTTCTTTTTCGCCTGTAGCGGCCCATTCGGCCCTATGGTATCCTTAATTTGTCATTGTCATTCGAGAGGCCCATTCGGCCATCTAGTATTATCGATATCTTTAGTAGGTCCTTTAGACCCTGAAGATCATTCGTTGTAAATACGTTTTTTGTGTATATTTTGTCTATTCTGAAGAAGTGGGGTTCAGATCCCGCAGAAACTAGTCAATAAATAAACATTTACAAAAACACAAAAAACTTTTTTATTTTTATTTCATCTCGAGAGTAGTGAACTCATTAGAAAGAGGTTATATCTGAATAAGAATAACCAACTACTTTTAATTCTAATAAAGTTTCTTTTATTGTTAATTGGTAGTAAGTAGAATGTTGCTGTAAAGAATGTTAATTATCGAAGTATTTTGCTTAATTATTAGTTGACAACTATAAATCGTGGTAAATATTAATGTTTTCCTTTCAATTAATAAGGTTTACATATTGGAATTGATGCAAGAAATTCTCTACGAAATTTCTTTGATGAAAGCGAATAAATATAGAATCTACTAGCATCATTAGCAAACCATAAAATATAAACCATACACATACTAAAATTTTCCCATTGACGTCGTAATAAATCTTTTGAATGATAGATTGTCACACCATTGTACAATTTATGAATAGTAAATGGCATAGTTAGAAGAATAAAACATATTAAATGAGTAACGATCATCCGTTGAAAATCTTTTATTTTAATTTTATATGTATGTACTATAAGACAACGTCGCATATTTCTGATAGTTAACAAAGCAAACATACCACTTAGAAGTGGATAACAGAGATTATACATAACCAAAAAAACAGTATCATAGATTATTTGATACCATCCAGGTCTTGTCCAACATTTTCCGTTAACAACAACCAAATTGAATGACATATGAGAATTACTAATACATGCAAGAACAATTACAGTAATAATGATTCGCCGTGCTATTGTTGTTTGACAAAAATTTCGATATCGACTTTGTCGACAACTTGATGCATATCGATCAAATGATGCTAATATATTCAGTAAAGATGAAATGAAGTAGGTTGTATAAACGATTGAAAGGCGAATTTTACACCACCAATCAATATTTAGTTCTTTTGTATTAATTTTATAACCGAGATCAAGCATTCGCACAAACACGCTAAAGAAAAGACGAACGAGATCTACGCAAGATGATGCGAGAAAATAATTACAACATGAATTTTTTATCATTGTTGACCGAGTAAATAATCGTAGATTTAACAAATGTCCAATAACACCTAATATGAAAATGATTGTCAAACTAACACGATACGTCTCATGTGTTATTGTTTTCAATAATTGAATGTTAATAAAATCATTTATTTCATGAGTATTATTCTCCATTTAGTATAAATTCTATAGACCAAAACAACGAAAACAATACAAACTTTGTTTTTCTTGTTAAATTATATAGTATTAGAAAACTTTTAATAAACTCCAAATGAAATAAAATAATCTGTTCTCTATTCTCAAAAACGATGATATTGACTAAAAATATTTTCTAAAGCAGATGGCGATACGATTATTTTATCTATTTGCATACCCATATTCAGTTGACGTAAAATGTGAATGATTGGCATTTTCAAACTAAATTCTGTTCAATTCTTTTTATATTCTCAATAAATTTCATATGTTATTTTTCCTTGTATTATAAGCCTATAACCAGAATGCTGATTTTGTAAGACACTTGGCAAGCAAACTTTTTCATAGGAAAACTAATTTTTTATCGTGAAATTTATTTTAATTATGAATATAAATGATTGTGATAATGAAGACAAACTATTCTTTATTTAATAGAATAGCATTCTGTCATTTTAAACTCGTACGGAAAATGTCGTTTTTAAGAGCATGAAGTATCTATACATTTAATGAGAAATTGTAATTGTCACAAGTGAAAATTATTCTGACATTGTGTTAGTTACCAAAGATAATTCCAATGATGTAAAATAGAATTAGTCATTTATTATTTCTTTTCTTGTTTTCGAAATAATGAAGAAAGAAAACGTCAAAGTATTAGTAAAATATACTATTTAGTAGTTAAATGACAAAAATTCGAAACGTTAGTGCATACAAATCAACTCCTCTTGTTTTTTTTGTAACTTATTTTTTATTTTACTTATATTTCTCTTTACAATAATCAAGATAACTCTTTGCTACCACGAAGGATGTTAGAGTCTATAATATGACATCATATGTATAATAACTCATGCAAAAAGTTTTTCTGTTAACTAGACTGACATTAACTTCGTTTAATTAGTTTTTCTTTGAGTGAGTAAACAATATTTTTTAATTTAAAATCATAAAAATCGGTAATTTCAAGTCAAATTTTAATATAAAAACTGTTTTATTTTGTTAAAATGTTTCATTCCGTAGCAGAAGGTGTGGCCTATTGTATCAAACTATGAGAAAATTGACTTCGTTTAAATTGTACATGTAGTAACAAATAACTTTTAGCCATTCTAGTGCCTTCTTGTTGAAAGAATAATTTGGAATTTTGCATCGAAATAACTTTTCTTTGATCTAGCGTCAGAAATAAGGAAAATCTGACTTTACTTTTTAATAGAGTGAAACTGAATGCATCAATTTCTATAGATAAGTTCTTATCAATTGGAAAAAAAGTAAAGACATAAAAAGCGAAAATACTAACAAAGTGTTTTTTCTTATAATTTTGAGCACTGCCGGTGTGGGTGGGTGTGGATGTGGGTGGGTGTGGGTGTGTGGGTGTGGGTGTGGGTGTGGGTGGGGTGGGTGTGGGGTGTGGGTGTGGGGTGTGGGTGGGTGTGGGTGTGGGTGTGGATCGGTGTGGGGTGTGGGTGTGAATATTAGTCATCACGAAATCAATATCCGCACTCAAACATCCACGCCCACATCCACACGCACACGCACACCCACACCAGCACCCACACCCTCTTCGATTAAGTTGAAAAATTCTAGAGTATTTTGTATTTGATTTGAACATTTGCTTTCGAATCAACTGTACAGATACTTGCCACTTGACAATAACTTAGTAACTTTGAAAAACTTCAAGTTTTGTGGTAACTCTTCACAACCACACCCACACCCACACCCAGCCCCAGCCCC